AGCGCGCGGAAACGCCCAAAATGCCCCCCATGGTGTCTAGCTGCCTAGTTCCCATGGTTATTGTTGTATACTATTTTTGGAATCATACGAAGAGGTTAGGTGTAATAAAAAGTTGTGATGATAAACATATATTCACACGAATGGTTCACGACCCAAGCGATAAATAAGCTAAGAAACAAGCCGGACTATTACTTTGACATTAGGAGTAGTGAGTTTATGACGCAAAGCCCAATGAAGTACTTCTCCAGACATCTCGTCGGCAGTACATTTGAAAGTTCAATGGAATTTTCTAAAGTGAAGGGTTGATCATTGACAACATTGGATTGTTAAAATAGAGCCAAATAAAATGGTCATGTGATATTTATGACTAACCCTAGCCCTAGCCCTAACCCTAGACACTAACCCTTACTGCTTTCGGGAACGTAAACTGGATGATGTTTTCACTTTTGTTGGGGGTCCAAGTCCAATAAAGAATGTGGACCGGGAGTTCAAATCTTAGGAGGTCCAAATCCGATAGGACACCGGTTAACAGCAGGCGGTATGCTATCCGTTGCATGTTTAGTCGCCTGTTCATGGAGGATCTTGTCATAACTATAGCATACCCTAGATCACCAAGGTTCTGTTGGAGAGCATTTCGTTAAGTTTTAGAAAACACAAAAAATGTTATTCACCAGCCTAGGTCGGTTGTCCGGGAAAAAACTGTACCCTCTGTCTTGAGAACTGCCCTCGACCTACGGCTCCGGCAGTATCTAAAGCCTCGGGTGCAGTTTTTCTTAGTACGAACATCCCGGCTGATGAATAACTTATATTTCCTTCAGTGGACAATTGAACGGAGTTACACCGTAATCATCATTACCATAAAGAGACACCTGTTCTTGTAGACACACCTTAGAGCTCTCACATTAAACCCAAGTTCTGATTATCAGTCTCTTGATAATTTTTGCCAAATAGTGGAACGATAAATGTAGTAAGACATTATTTTTTTCTTAGCTCGTGAGCGGGCGGTGTTCTACAGATCTTGCAATCTGATTGGTTCCGAGAGCGGGCAGTATTCTCTCATCCGGCCCGCTCACAGCGGGCGGTATCCTATCTGCTGCGTTTTGAGTCGCTTAGTACAGCCTTACCTCCGTTACAAATTTTCATAAATATAGTTTGTTTACCGGCTGGGCAGCATTTTTAAACAAAGATTTCGGTCACGACCTCCAGCCGATAAATAACTTATAATTCTCTCTTCTCTCCCGAAATTACTTACCGCAAAAATTGATTTCGAAATGAATTTTGTGGTACCAAAAGTGTTTTTGTAATAGACTGACACGCGGCCTACAAAATCGCTTGTGATTAATTATCCATCTCAGAGCGCAACTCAGAAAGTTAAACGATAGCTATTTGCAATGAACAATGATATTAGTCAATGTTATTTTCACTCGTTTAAAATCAAAATTCTCCATAACAATTACCTTATAAGACGGTGAACGAAGTTTTGAGCTACAGATAAACTTTTCACAAATTCTTTGCAAGTCCCATGAATTTGGATACTTCTACCGTACATTTAAAAACAGAAACGATCAAACCGGAGTAATTCGATGACTTAAAGTCGCATTACTTCTACTTGTATCGAGCTAGAAAAAGTGTCTTATTTGACTTTAAATGTTCGGTGGAAAAAAGACAAGATTTTAGGGATACCATTGCAACAAGCAAACATGCAAAGTCTCACAACTTCAAAATGTACATTTAGATTTACCTACAATTTGACTTTTCTTGACATTTTGACATTTGGTCGATTAGCCGTCGTTAGAAGAGAATAACTCTTTCCGTAAGATCGTTGAAGTGTTGATTGTCATTTATTCGAGTTTACTTTCCAAACCAGAGCTGTTGTCTTTTCAAAGTTGGATAGGGTCTTAAAGTACTTACGAGTGACCACGAGTGACCACGAGTGAGATTAAATCAAAATATCTCAGTTTTCTTACTGTGACGTCATTACGAAATCATTTTCACTTAATTTCATGAAATAATGACTTACTCACGAAAACTGAAGTTATTCACTGTATAAATGCATAGCGGACGGTTTGAAAAACATGAAAAACAGATGCGATAATATTTAAAAACTTGCAGTGTGGACTATACATCACAGATTGTACGGTTACGATAGGTTGAAATCAAAAACGATTTTAAGAATAGCGTTAGGGTTTAGGGTTAGGGTTAAACGATGGTTAACAGGAAAGGTTGGTATGGGGGGTCCATGTCTGCGAAGGGGGTCTATATCCGCCAGCGGATTCGGACTGGGGATTGAAATCCGCTAAGGGTCCAAATTAAATGAAATATTCGATGAAAGAATACTGTGTGCTCTTTAAACTCATGAGATTGCAGGATTTGTAGGATACCGCCCGCTCGAACTTCTAGGAAAAAGAGACTGTCATATCAGTTTTTCAAAGCTGTAAATGGGATTGTACTGGGATGTAGAAGGGACTTTTTTGTCGTGCGTAAGAATGTGAGAAGCTTAAAAGGTACTTGGTACAAATGTAGTTGTCTGGTTCGGATAATGTTAGAACTAAGACGTTATGAAGTTAAGCTTTAAAGTTATGTTTCCATAAATCAAAAGTTATTTTCTGGCCATCGATGTTGTGCAGCTTTTAATTTTTGGCTTAATGGTGGTAGCATTAAAACGTACTGAGAACTGGTTTCGGTTTTTTTCAAGCTGAATAATTTTATTTTTATTTTTTCGAACCATGGCTTCAAGAGTTACATAGTAGTAAAAATCCGAAAATCCTTACCAAAATTTCCTTCAGTGAGGCTCAGGAGAAGTCAAAGATTACCTAAGTTTAAGAGGGTTAAGTGTAACGGGAAAAAAAGAAGAGAGCTTGTCGCCCTAGCTTTTTCTGCTTGTGAACGTAATGTTTGGGTTGTATCTGACGAGCAGTTAAGGTCGAAACTCAGTCGAGTTACCACCAACCGATGAAGAGTCTTCCAAGCGACCCAGACTTATAGCAAAAGAGGAATGTAGAAAGATGTAACAACGTTACCGACTTGAGACCTTCGGCAAGTGTTTGTTTTTGTTTTGTCACGGAGAATTTGACAGATTATATAAGAAAGTACAAAATATGTAAAGCTTATTTCTGTTTTATCAGTGGATTCGTGGGAACGCTGTATTAGCACACGTTTGATACTGCCGGAAAAGAAAGAAGGCGAAAACTAAACCAAGGTAGCGATGCGCGTCTTATTATCATGAGACATACTATGGCTTGTTACCTAACAACAAGGTATGGCTTGTTGCCCCCCGCCAACATGGTGACTAGAAATCGTTGAAGAGTCTATCTGTCCATTGAAAAACACATCCAGTTCTGGAATCGCTTGACATTTCTACACAAACATCTCAGAGTCTTGGGAAGTTCGAATGAGCCTTTCAGCGGCATTTTAGTGAGAATTTCTAACTGTCGAACATTTAGTCCACTCGAGACCGTACCCGACAGTCTGATCGGAAGCGAAAAATTTGTTATTGACGACAACTGAGCGATATTAAAAAATGTACAAGCTCGGAGAATTTGTCCACAGAATAAAAAAAATAGTTTTTCGAAACTAAACAAGTATCTGATATTCTTAAAAAGTTTGAAGCAGCCTTTTAGTGGATATTCTGTAGAATTTCTGACTTCCGGGCGTTAAGCCTATAGGAGACAATGGCCGGCTGCCGGACATTTAATCAAAACAATTTAAAAACAATTTGGATTTTGAATGAGTAATTTACTCTGTGTGCGTATATTATCCCAAACTTGTTGAATACTTATTTTCTAACAATATTTACATTATCAGGGAACACTACGCTAAAAGATGCGGATGTTCCTCAAGCAGGTCCTACTACGAGTGACAAAAAAGTTCCCAAAGATGAGAATGGACAGCAGTCTAATACAGGTGTTCCTAAGATTTTGCCATCAGAATGTTTTCAATGTGTAAGAGTTAATGGAATCAGGCAGTTATTATAGGCTACACTTGGTAAAACTTATAAAGCCAGTGCTTGAAGCTTCAATGTTTATAGTTTTATGATTGGTGAGCTGAAGAGTGAACAAATATGAAATGTAAGAACGCTCTTGTATGTGCAGTTTTAATAATTTAGTCATTTTATGTAAACTGTTTACTTTTGTTTCTGCTTCGTAATGAAACATTTTGTTATTGAAGTAATTTTTGCCGAGTGCAAATGGACTGAGAAATTATGCGTTTCTGAATTCTTAGCTGTGCCAGGATGTTTTTATTTTGTTTTTAAATTGGGCTTCTTGATGAAAAAGCTACTCCATAAAGGGGATATACAATGTGTCGTCAAGGGACTTAACTATAAAAAAGACAGAAGCGAGAGAGGCAAAACTTGGAGCTGGGTCTACAAAGGAAGACAATTTTTTTTATCCTTTCTATAAAGCCTTTCTTCTTCATTGTCAGTTGGTCAATTTTCAGCCTTTCCTTCTACGAAAAGCTATTTACAGATGTCAGACGAAATTTAATTTTCGTCTTAATTTTCTTTTTACTTTTACCATAGGGGGGCCAAGATCTCTATAATAGAAAAATGTGAAAGTGCCTTTGACACCTATTTTTTTGCATCAAATTATGAAAATAGAAGGGTATACATGTTAAGGGTGTCTGGTAAGATTTGTGAGTGATTCTGATGCGTCTTTGTTATTTTACGAGACGATAAAAGTCCGAAATTGGAGCGAACTCAGGCTCCCCCTATCTCTTTTGCCGCGTGAAAGAGTACTGGTACCCAAATATTAGTGACGTCAAGGGAGTAAGACCAAGTTTATTAAATCAGAGAAGCAAAGTGAGTGTGGAATCTATTATTTACGATCTTTTATACCAAAAAAATGCCGTTTCGATGTGTAGTTTGGGGTTGTTTTGAATACCCCTGACTCGGAAAAGAATATTTCGCTCCACGAGACTCCTTTGAGGGCGATCAAAGGCCAGAGGCTATGAAAAGGCGAAATAGGTGGATTCAGTTTCTGAGCGCAGTGCGCTAACTGGAC